ACCGTACTCCTTCGTTCGGTTTACCACGTAGAGTCACCGTTATTAGTATTCAGTTTAGACAATTCCCCGGTATTATTTTTACCGGGGGGAACTCTGGGGCGGCGGAAGGGAACGAATGGTTTCAGATGGGGAGACTCGACGAGTCTGTGTACGCGATCCCTCAACTCGAACAGCGGCTCCATATCGTTTGACCTTTCCTGAAAACGGTCGCGCCTCAGAAATGTCAGGGTGCCACTATCTCCGCGGCTATGAACTTTGGGCTATACATCTGTTACGCTATTGAAGTCATCGCACCGCGCGGCGGGTCGTTCGTAGGAGGCGGTTGGGATGGAATTTTCCTAGGAATTGGTTCCATGCCCTTTATCTCGTCCGCGTCAACTAATCGAATGCAACTACTAGACGGACAGTAGGTGCAATCGATAATGGAATAACGCACGGTACCGGAATATCGCGGTCGGGGGCGCAAAATAAAGGCGCGTTCGTTTAATAATAGTTAATCGAGCGACCGATTTTAGATTCCATTCATTTCTACGAGAATTGATTTACCGAATGGCGGGCTTATTAAATTGCCCATAGCTACGATCGTAACGCGGACAGCGAAATTAATTGCTAATGAGTCTATTACTTTCAATTACGGTTTGAAAAGTGTACCAATGTTCAACGCTCCGTGCAGTTACGTTGCTGACACCGCGGTTTATTTTATCTTCGTTCGAAAGCCTCTAAATAAGATATACAGTTACCACCCTATGCAGGCGACAAAGAGAAAGTAAATTAAGCTCCGTGACTCGACCCTGGCTTACGCACGTTGAACGTTATACCGTTGTGCACGCATTCTCTGACATTACGGAGGTTTTACGGGGCCGAACTTCCTATCTCCCGATGAAGTTGACGCTACATTAACGCGACGCACCATCCATATCGTGTTGCGTAATTAAACAAACACCCACGCGATGACAGTATTAAAAACCCAAGCGAACTGCAAAATTCAATCCCACCAGCCAAGTTACCCAGCAGCGTAGATCCGCTTGCCCGTTAATCTTCACGTTCGTCTTGCATCCCGCGATTGTCGCGGATTCGCAGCGCTTGTTTCTCTCATGATTGCACTGACGAAATGTATAATCTTCACCTCTTCAGTCTGACGAATCTCGTAAGTTTTTATCATATTACGAAAACACCCTAATTTCATTTTCTGTTACGCAAGATCTCATCTCAATTTAGTTCACATTTTGTTTACCTGTTCTTCGGACATTTGTAGGCACTCTTGTAGGTTTGTTACCTGAAGAGGACCAGTATTGCTGGCCGAAACGTTGCAATTTATTATAATAAAGAATTGCCAGTAAGATCGTCCCCACGCTTATTCAAATTCTTGATTTCTTGACTGGCGTCACTAAGCTGCTACTTAATTGTAATATAATTTTGTTCGAGTTCAAGAATGTTTTAGATATTTAATATAAAGGGACACGAGAGAGGGGACGAACGTCGTTGCGCGAAACGATTGAAATGGGGAGCACGTTGAGGCTATAACGTTCGAGTTTGTGCCCGCTGTGATAACTCAACGTTTAGAAGCTTCCGCTCATATAGGCGCGAGTACGCTATTTACTTCCCAGACACTCAGAATAGCGCGACTATATAATCCCCTCAAGTGTGATAGCGGCACGCACGCGAGAAAAGGATTGACGAGCGACGGTCGCAAAGTATCGAGAGGGAACAACATTGATCGATCACTTCTTACGAGCTTTACCGCGACGGTGGTGTCGGCAGCAGCCGTAACCTTGCTAAATTATTGAACGACCATGCTAGACGCCCCGTCCATGCCCGCAGTCATGGGCAATTCCGCGGGATATACATTTCCGGCTCGCATAAAATCGACGTACCAGAAATCGTATCGATGGATTTAGGACGGCGAGACGTCGACGGCAGATTTGAGGCATACGCGGGTACAGTGGAGGGTAGCGTGTGGCGGAGGACCAGCAGAACGGGGGGAAAAAATATGGAAACCGCACTCGCTCTCGAGTTCCTTCGGGACAGATTCGGTATAGCGAAAATGTGCTCGCATGCTAAATGCATTTTAATTGTCAAATATTAATGAATTGAATCTGTAGTAATTTTTGTCTGTTTAAAAATTTTAAAAAGTGGGACTCTCTTCTCGCCTAAAGATAACAACACAGACCAGTCAATCATTAAATCGTTGAGAATCAAGGCGCGTCGGAGAGAGATTCATTGAATTGTCCGGCGATCGAGGAGCTTGCATTTAAATAAATTGACATTTTCCAATTCTTTTTCTCTCTCTCTCTCTCTCTCTCTCTCTCTCGCGCGCGCATAGATGAGGCAAGATAGCAGCTACTTCCGCGTAATAGCAGGAGAGGATGAACGTGGACGAGAAGGGGGGAATCAATTTAAAAGCCGTGATTCAGTGAGACACGATGACGTAGTTAGCGTGCGGCCTCTCTGTCGCCTCTCTAAAAATGAGTGATAAAAAGGTGCCAGAGGAGAGAGGGAAGAAGGAAAGAAGGAGAGTAATCTGATAATATCTCCCTTTAGCGACGCGCGGGATTAATGCATGTGCGGCGAAGGAGGACGGAAGTGATGAGGAAGAGGGGAAGAGAGAGAGAGAGAGAGAGAGAGAGAGAGAGAGAGAGAGAGAATTCACGTGTCCTTTGTCACAATAACAGTATATATATGCATGTAGACATAAATAAATTCTCGTATTCAAAAATACATATAATTGGTTATAATAGGCAGAATGTAATGTATACAATTATACGTGAAAATAGCCTTAAAGCCTATAAGTTTTGGAAATATGTCTTATTTTCTCTCTTTAATTGCGTTTCATTTAGTTTAATTGCGGTAAATTAGTTTAAGTTTAGATATTTAGAAACTATTAGTTTGGATATTGAGAGACATGATAAGCTAATTTTTTAGACACGATATAATTTTTTGGAAAGTGGAGCAAAGACTTGCCCCACCGTAAGTTGAAAGAAACATAAGTTATCATCAAACGAAAGGGACTGAGCCGATGAACTCAGATTCTCTAGTTAGGAAATTTAGAACGAATGAGAGTGAGTGTGAGAGAGAGAGAGAGAGAGAGAGAGAGAGAGAGAGAGAGAGAGAGAGAGAGAGAGAGAATAGAGACAGAAGATTGCCACTCGCGGGCGCTCTCGAGTACAAGTCTTGAGTGTTATTTCTGGTATTCACGTACGGCGCTCATGACGTATGACGATGAAAGGGTCGCGCGAAGGAGGACAGAGAGGGAGAGAAAGAGAGAGAGAGCGAGCAAAGGGCGCGTGCATACATCGTGCACACTCCTTCCTTCCGTTGTTGGTACGGGATTCTCATTTCTACTCACAAGAGAGAGAGAGAG